TCTGTCCGGATTTCGTCATTTGGGGTGGTTCTCGGTGGAATTTTTTGATTAATTTTTTTGACCATCTTATTCATTAAGTCTAGTTTACTCATACCAAATTTCAGATAAAAATTTAATCGAGAAGGCATTCAAATGAATTCTTGAAAATAACTGCGCTTTTAACTGCGCAATTATCTTCAAGAATTCATTTGAATGGCTTCCCGATTGAAGTTTTAGCTTAAATTTGGTATGCGTAAATTAGACTTACTGAATAAGATGCTCAAAAAATTTCATCAAAAAATTCTACCGAGAACCAACCCAAATGGCGAAGGCCGGACAGAGTCTCATAAATAAGGCCTCATTTGACCTTTTTTTGTTAGTACGTGGCCTTATCTGCCCCTTTTCCCTTCATTTAATTGATCAATTCATGTTTTTATTTTTTGTAAAATACGGGATGCTAGCTTTAGCCGTCATGCAATTAACTTTAGTGCTTAATAATTGTATTGTAAGAATACAAAAACACGATCTCATAAAGAGGAGCTTTTCTTTTTCGCTTTTACACTATTGTTGATCTCCTATGCATTTAATGTGTTCATTCAATTGAACAATTCATATTTCTATTTTTAGTAAAATACGGGAAAAATGCGTTTTATACGGGAAGTAAGAGTTTTTTTCCTTTTTAAACGGACTGACATTATTTTTCGTATTAAACGTATTTTTTGTTCAAAAAAAAACGGTACGTGTTTAAAACACGTTTAAAACGGGAAAAAGCTAACTACTGTTGTGAGAGGTCAACTCCAAACCAGGGTTGTAAACGAATCGAGTCGAATATTGAGACTGTATTTGTTTAATTTTTTCAAATACAAATCCCAATTCGAATATGAAACAAATACTAATTTAGATTTGTATTTGTATTTGTTTAACAACATGAATAGTTAATGAATCATATACAAATATCGAATCGATTTGAGCATAAATTAAATATTGGTCAAATATTACTTTAAAATAATTTTACATATATTTTTTACTCCCTCCGGTCCTAAATAAAGTTCACACTTTCCTTTTTGGGCCGGTCCAAAATAAAGTTCACGCTTCTTCTCCCTTCCTTTATTTGGCAAATTATCTACATCAAAACAATGCAAAACAGTGCCAAACAGTGCCAAATAATGTCACAACAGTGTACTCTACAGTTAAGTCAAATTTATTTTCTTAATTTGTGTGAAGTCAAACATTGAACTTTATTTAGGGACGCAGGGAGTATGCTATAAATGCATGCTATGACTTAATATGTGTTTATAAAATTTAATCTGTAACATTACATTTTTCTTTATAATTTAATGGATCAATGCATTTTTAGGTTGTACACAATATAATAAAGTGAATCAATTTTATGATTAATAAATACTATGTATAAATCTATTTCAAACCTTTTGAAATAACCACTAAGACACACAAGTATTAGAAATTATACATATAATGTGTGAAATCAGTTGATATCTGTATATATCAAAATCAAACGACTATGATTTTATTATTCGAATCGAATACATAATTATTTGTATTTATATTTGAAAGACAGTTGAATCAAAAATCTTATTTGTTTTCGTATTTATATTCTATAGTTTCAAATTTATATCATAATTTTTGAATCCAAATAATGACTCGAATTAAAACTATTTGTGTCGTTTACAATTCTTACTATGTATGTTACTTATGATTTATTACAAATGAAATTGGAATTTGTATACATAAATGGATATATGGGCTACACTTTGAAGTTATAGATATCATTTAAAAGTTATTATAGTATTATTACAATTATTATTATTAATATTATTATTAATGTTATTACTATTATTAATGGAATACATTTGATTAATATTCGAATCAAATACACTCATATTCTTATTTGTATTTGATAATGATTCAAATCAAATTAAGTATTCTTATTTGTATTTGATTTTTTTCGAATTCTAATACCCGAATTCGAATCAGGAATCGAGGCTGAATTATTTGATTAGTTTAACTCATGTTCAACAGTCCCTATATTATACATCCGGATGTACGTACACCCGGCCCAATTAAAGGAGCAACCCAATAACTAATAAAGCCAATTCGGACCCGTTCTTCGTTTTTGTTATTTTGTACGAAGTACATAACTCTCGGTATTCTTCCTTTCTCCTCCATCTTCCTCGAAGTCTTCATCATCAATTCATCATACACATATACCACCTGGAAATCAATTTCGTGGAAGGAAGGCAGTGGAAAACGAGTTACTGAACAAGAAAAGCACTAAGGAATGTTGTATTTTCCACAAGGAGAAGCCTTTTGACGAAGATTACAGCGATGAAGAAGAAAATAAAGTCTGTTGTAATGATCATCACCGCATTCAGGATCATGTGAATATTGTGGTACCTCAGTAGATGCAGAGATCATTGGTTGATTGAACTTACATTAAAAAAATCGTGTTTCTTGCAATCTTTCTTTTGCAAAAAAAAATGCAGACTTCCGAGATGCTGGGTTGGTCGGTTGGTGGTTTATAAAAACCGGACATTTTTAGTTGAAATTATAGAGATCATGAGCTGTTTCCACACCATCCATTTTTCAGATAATAAATTTTAAAGCTGAAATTTTTATTGGGAAGTGGTGAAACACTAAATAGCTATCATTATTTCTATAGTTAGTTTTTCATGTGCTCTTTGCACAACTCCAACCCCCATTGTACATTTTATTGAAAACAACAAAAGACTCGGAATTAAAGAAAATTACTAGTATAAAACAATTGAAAGATGGTTCAGAAAAATGTGCACTACTCAACATTTAATGAGCAACAGACCTATTATGTTGAGTATTAGGAGTCTAATTTTTAGAATTGTGATCTTTGCTTCATAACTTGTATTTCACTTTCTTTTGTTATTAAATCGCAAGTTTTGTTAGTTGAACATCATCACATTTTCATTGAACATCAAACCTCCATCATCGAGATGAAAATCACAATTTCTGGTAAATGAGCACTAATTAACCTTTAATGAGCATCAGACCTATTATGTTGAGTATTAGGAGTCTGATATTGAGTATCGTGATCTATGCTTCATATCTTCTAATTATTTTTCTTTTTGTTATTTTTTCTTTTATAAAAACTATTAAATTATATCTATAATCCACTCCTATTAATTTCAATATGAGTCTAATGTAATATGATACTTTCGAAATATGTTTTGAGATAGTATTTTAAAAATGAACGTAACACCACAACCGAATGAACATACATAACTTACAAAGTGCACATTGATATGAAAATGGTAGGATTTGTTAGTTGAACATCATGACATTTTAATTGAGCAATAACCTCCACTGTTGAGATGAAAATCATGACTTCTGGAGAATGAGTAATAACGAACCTTTAATGAGCATCAGACCTATTATATTGAGTATTATGAGTCCAATATTTAGAATCGTGATCTTTGCTTCATAATTTCTAATTCACTTTCTTTGTTGTTATTTTTTCTTTTATAAAAACTTACTACATTATATTTATGACATTGATATGACATTTACAAAATGAGCATAAGATCAGTACCATATTAGCATACATAACTTACAAAATGAGTATTAGTGAATTTGTCAGTTGCTTTGTTAGTTGAATATCATGACATTTTAATTGAGCATCAAACCTTGGTTATTGAGATGAAAGTCATCGTTTCTTCTGAATGAGCATTAATGAGCGTTTAATGAGCATCAGACCTGTTATGTTGAGTATTAGAAGTCTGATATTCAGAATCGTGATCTTTGCCGCATACCTTCTAAGTCACTTTCTTTTTACTACTTTTTCTTTTTATAAAAACTTAATAAATTATATTTATAATCAAATCTTATGAAATTCAATATGTGAATCTAATGTAAAATAGTACTTTAAAAATGCATTGATATGATCATTAAAACACTTTTAATGAGCATCAGACTTATTCAATTGAGTATTAAGATCTTAACAATGTGAATCCAACGTCATATGCAACTTTTAAAATTCATTTAAAATCATTAGCATGCTCAAATATTAAATGAGAATGAATAACCTAAGAAATGAGTATCGAAAAAATTAAAATAAGCATTACACGCACCAATATATATGGATGGATATGATATTTTAAAATGTATGATATAATGCTCATTTTAAAATGAGTATTACACCAGTATCAAATGAGTATAGATAATTTACGAAATGAGCATCGAAAATTTAAAAGAATAATTTAAAATTTCTAGTATGCTCAAATATCAATTTGTGTATGCTCATATTAGTATAACATAAAGAAACATCAATTTCTTATTTCAGACCAACCAATTCCTTAAATTAAATGCACATTTAATTTAAATAATATACTCATAATTATTTAGAAAGTTGGAGCTTTTAATAGAAAAGTGAGAGAGGTATATATTTTTATTGAATTGTTATTCGATATGAATTTTTGAAAGAATTGTCTGAAAAAAATCTTGTAAAGAATTTACATTAAAATGAAAAAGAAATGGGAGTTCAAAATTAGAGGAGTAGAGACAAAAATCATATATAAAAAGAAAACAAAAGCAGAAAAAACAAAAAGAAAAAGTTTGAAAATTTAAAGTTCAAAATTAAAGGAAAAGAGAAAAAGGAAAATAAAAACTGAAACAAGGAAAATAAGAAGAGAAGGGAGCAAATGGGAAAAATAAAAAAAATTCTAATTTTTAAAATTAGAAAAATTAAAGTTTCAAAATTAAAAGAAGAGAAAAAAAAGTAGCAGACAAAAGAGAAAGAAAAAACAATAAGAAGCTACAAACAAATGATACATGAAGCAGAATAGAAAAAATGTAAAATATAAAGATGAAAAAAGAAAAATCAAAGAGCAAATGGGAAGAGCAAATTGGCAGAGCAGGGAGCAACAGAAACAAAATAAAGAAAGCAGATAACCTTCTCCATAATTAGTAGCCTCTCTTTTACAAGTAATTACAAACTTACCTGATGTACCGATTCACGTACGCCCGATGTACCGTATATTTTGGCTTCAAACAGAGGCGACTGCTCCGAGGTCAGACGGCGATGCTCGCGGGCCAGCGAATGAAAGAAAACTACAGAGTAGAAGAAAGAAACAAAAAAGGCTATTCTGATTCTATCTCTCGCTTTCCTCTTCCTTTTCATTTTGCTTCTCCACTTTTCTTTCCCCGCAGGAATATAATCCGGCGTCCGAAATAGAAAGCCCAAAGCCGCTCTTTCTCTCTCCCTCACATAATACATCTTTCCTCCATTGTAAGTCGATCATGAAAATCCCCTTTCTTCACTTACCTTTTTGCATTTGCATTTCTACTCCTTTTTCTTCATGCTTTTAAGAAGAAAAGGAAGGTTCTCGTGTGTTTCGCTCTTCCCATCCAAATGTTGTGTCCATGGCTGTTTGCATCATTCTGTGAATTTGTTGAACGAAATGGTTTACAGGTGTTTCGTTTTCCTCTGTTTTGAAATTCTTATTCGTTTTTTTGGCATAAATTTATTGCTCTTAACTACATAATTATTATTTTCATTTGAAATATGACTCCTACTCCAAGTTGGGTAACAATGTCTCCTGTCATGCAATGTTTGATCATTGATGTTTGAAACCAATCACTATTGCATTTGATCGGTACTGGTCTTAAAAATTTAATTGATTCTAATATGGTGGGTGTGAATGACAGAAAGAGAAGGATATACAGGAAAAGAAAGTAGGAAAAGAGTGAATGTGAATTATATTTGGAACATGGCATCATAGATTCATAGTATTATACTGTGTGGAGTTCTAGAAAAGGGTGTATGGATTTAACCAACCCCTTGAATTGGAATCAAGGCTTGTTTTTTGGTGTGAATACTTGTAGGATTCTATATCTTTCAACTATATATGGTGTATAAGTTATAATCGTCCCACAGTGTAGTTAAAATATGGATTAAATTGGCCCGGGGTATTTTACTATGTATTAAAAGTTGAGGAGATATAGGTGAAATATTATTTATTCTATTGCTGTAATGTGAAGGAAACTATATGGGGATGAACTCTTATGGAACTCAAGCCGAGCTGGTGCTTAGGAGCTTTATGTTTTCAGATTTGCACATGGCTTACAGTTCAGTTATATTCGGCATTGTTATGTGCAAAATGGTATGAAGAAGCCAACTGTTGACTTCTCTCTCAGTTATTATGCTTGAATGGTTTTGATATTTTGTAGACTTGTAGTATAATTGAAATGTAACTGGACTCTATCAAGAACACCATCGATGTGTTTCATTTTTCTTTTTTGATGAAATCAGGTCTATAATCTCAGCCAAGTGATTATGGTTTCCTGCTATAAGGGATACTCCAACCTCTCAAAACCCCATCAGATTGAGTGGAACAACCGGTATCTATTTTTGTTCGCTTTAGTGTTAAACCTTAAATATATTTTCCTTTGATCATTTTAACGGTAGCCGTTATTTTACCATTATGCAGTGCAATATCTACAGTTCACTCCATGTTCATCACAGCAATGTCACTCTATATTGCATTCTGGTCAAATGTATTTTCTGATTATGAGCTTTCTGGCCGTATAACTACCCGAAACTCAACTTTGTCAACGTGTGTACTAGGAGTGAGTATTTGGTTTTCCCTTATTTTACCTAATAACTTTCAAAGATCTTATAATATATCTATGCACCCAAATCATGAAGTAATTATGTCATTGAGCCATTGAGGGTTACAATGTTGTTTAAGTTAGTAGAAGTCTACCTTATGAGATTATGTTTCTTGTGTTTATAAAAATGCTAGGGAAGTGTGTATTACATTGATGAATTAATATCTGGTTAATCATCTTAAACCTAAAACTAAATTTGGGGGACTAATCTAAGCAAATTTGAGAAACTGAGTTAGACGGTTAGACCGTTAGACTAACTCAGTTTTCATGTTCATCTGATTTCGCCCCATCCTTTTCAATTTCTTATGAAAATTCAAGTTTTGCAGTCATGGAATATTGAAATAAGTAGTTTCAACTCTAAAGGTAGCTAAGATGTTTCTATATGACACTAATTGGCGAACTATCATTCTGAGTGATTTCATGATTCTATGTCCATCAAATTTCATCACCACCACCTTAATTGATCCCAACTAGGTTGGGTTGGTGGCATAAAATATATAAGAAGATTAATACTGTAAATTTAAGATGCATATTATGGAACAGGGCCTTAATTCTGTCAATTTTATTTAAAGAATTAGATCATCTCTGCCATGTTTTGCCCAGGTTTCTGTGGGATACTTCCTCGTTGATCTTGGGATGATCATTTGGTTTTATCCTAAGCTAGGGGGGATGGAGTATGTAAGTGGCGATTTATTGCCTTTCTGTTCATTCTGATGGACAAGCCAATTCTGGTGCAAGTCTGATCATATTGAAATTTGTTAATTCATTTGCAGGTGGCTCATCACCTTCTTTCCATGATAGCTCTAACATATGCTATGTTGACTGGCGAGGGACAGCTTTATACCTTTATGGTCTTGATTTCCGAGGCAACTACTCCAAGCATCAATTTGAGATGGTAGTACACATGAGCTGCTCTCCCTCTACACACACATTATATGGTCCAGACCAAGTAAAAACTAGTCTTCCCATTAAGAACTGGAAAATTCAGAAATAGAGCAGATTCCTAACTTTATTACAACACAATTGCACATTTAAGTATAAGGATCTTCATCTTTTCAAAGTATATTGCATTATTGCCACTGTTTCTTCATCTTTTGAGCACTTAGATCGACAATCTAGTAAACTATATCCGATCATTTTGCACATGAGGAGCACGTTTTAATTGATTAGATAAATATATAGACACCCAGGCCTATTATTGATGTGAATCATGTGCTCTTGCATAGGTATCTTGATGTTGCTGGAATGAAGAAAACCAAAGCATATCTTATCAATGGAGTGGTCATATTTTTAGCTTGGATGGTACATGATGGATTCAATTCATTCATGTTCCTAATGTTTCAATGTTTATGTTATCCCACTTATGTCCTTGAATTAATCAAATTTACCGTGTTACCTGCAGCTGGCCAGAATAATGTTGTTCATGTACTTGTTTTATCACATCTATCTCCACTATGACCAGGTACATACCATCCCACCTTGCTACGATCATCATATTTCCATCGAACTGGGTAAAAGTTCAGATGTAGCCATTTTGTTGCTTAGGCATGTTTGACATGGCCTAAAATGGCTGAAGTGGCTAAAATCAGGATATTTAAATAAAATACAGTACAAATACTGTTTGCATTTTGTTTCTAATTAATTATATTTCACTTTTCTTCTTAGTCATCAAATACTACGTAGTTATCACACATTTCTTTGGTTAAATGGAAACTTGATAAATGACATGAATAGGATAACCGCCTTATTTGCTACTCTTCCCTTGCTTACAGGTGAAGCAGATGCACACGTACACGCTCTTCTTGGTTTTCGTTGTGCCATCTGGCCTATCCATCATGAACCTGATGTGGTTTGGGAGGATTATCTCTGGATTGAAGAAGACGTTGGCAAAGAGGCAGTAATCCAGATCAAGTTATGCACTCCTACAACGATGTTCCTGTAACTAACAGTACACACCACTACACCAGAGTATGCATGTATGCTTACAAAGAGCCCCTAGGGGGTCCTAGGACGATAACCAATGCAGTTATGCAGACATGTTTATATATGCTCTCAGGAATCTTACCCAATTCTATAGCCCCAAACAAAAACACTAAAAACAAATATTGATCTGTTTAGTAGTATAGAATACAGGTATTGCGAAGGGGGTATGTGGACTGGTGGCCGCAACAAACAATGGAAGTACAGTATAAATTCATAGAGCTCCACCATAGTTATGTAGATTTCTACCCGTTCTGTCGTGATCCAGAAAGTTGTGTTGGAATGTGTGTGTGTTTACGTAGTTACATGAAGAACCAACCCCATTGGCAAGCGATTCTTTTTGTATGGTTATACTTGATGACTCTAGTGATGGCAGTTAATACTCTCTCGGCCCTTAAAACTTTGCTAACTTTCCTTTTTAGATTCCCAATTTCCCATTAACTTTGTAACTTTCCCTTTTTATTAAAGAATTTATGGTTCTAGTTAATTCTCTTTCCTCTATACAAACATCAATCACACAGTTTTGGGAGAACTATCAAATAAGCCTTCGAACTTTCATAAAAAGTTCAAATAAGCCCTTTTACAGGAGGCTTTGTCCGGCTGTCGTCATTTGGGGCGATTTCCGGTGGAAGATTTTGATGAACTTTTTTGAGCATCTTCTTCATTACGTCTAGTTTACCCATACCAAATTTCAGCTAAAAATTGAATTGAGAAGGCAATCAAATGATTTTTTGAAATATAATACGCTGCCTAACTGCGCAGTTATCTTCAAAAATTCATTTGACTGCCTTCCCGATTGAATTTTTATTTGAAATTTGGTATGTGTAAACTAGACTTAATGAAGAAGATGGTCAAAACATTTCATCAAAAAATTCAACCGGAAACCACTCCAAATGACGACGACCGGACAGAGCCTCCTATAAAAGAACTTATTTGCACCTTTTTATAAAAGTTCGAGGGCCTATTTGATAATTCTCCTCACAGTTTTTTCTTTCTTAATCCCGTACCGGTCAAACTTGGCAAAGTTTTAACAGACGAAGGTAGTATATGAATATGATGTATGCATTAAATTGTTCACAATCATTTTATTTCTATCGAGATACGTACTTATCCAAACAAAAGAATATTCCACCAATCATAGAATGTTTTTCGTTGGATGTGACTAATGTGAGTACTCCCGGGTTCTTGAGTCTGATTTTTCAAACATCATCCCACCCTTTAATGCTTGCCATTTGGTATATCAATCTTTGTTTTTTAAATTATTATTATGGAATATTTATTTTTTAAATTATTATGGAATACAATTTTTTTAGTCCATTTTTTATAATTTTTCCAATGATATCAACATGCATATAATAAAGTTGAATGTTTTCACTTCCAAACATCACATTTTCACTACATCTTTTTAAAATTTTACGCAATATTAGTACCATTGATGAAAAAATTATAACAATTGTAAAATAAAAATGAATTCATATGCTACATGGCAGCCCAATAGGGCAGGGTGAGCACCACTCTCTTTTGATAGGGAGAACAAAATTGTTTTCCCGATTCTTTCTTGATTGAATACAAACTCTTTCAATAATGAAGATAGTGAATTAATTCGATTAATACAGAGTTACTAACATTTCAACATATTTAATAAAATTTACTCAACACATTTTTTAAACATTAAATCAGTAAAACATTAATTGAACTATTATAAACAGTGCTTTTCTTTATTTTTTTGAATAATTTTGAAACAAAAATGCACAATTCGATGTTAAAAAAATTAGTATTTTTTTACCTTTCTATTAATATAAACGAGTTTAAGTAAAGTTTGGTTTTTCGTGGAGCTACCATGAATTAAAAATATATACGTGTTTTGTATTTTTTTTTTGCTTAAAATCTCCAGAGATTGGAGATTCCGATTTTTAGACTTTGTATATGCAATACTAGTGTCATGTGAAACTCCCTCCATGGAGTTTTTTTACCACATGGGGTCCGGGGGGTGGGGGTCTCTAGGGGGCTGAGATAAACATGGATGAAACTCCCTCCATGGAGTTTCAAACTCCAGACCTCTCGTATTAGATAGCAAGTCAACAACCTGCTGAGCTGAACCGCTTCCTCCATTACTCACTTTTTTATGGTCTAAAGATATGACAAGATAAAAGGAAGGATATTACTCCCCTCATCTCGTAAAATTTGGTCAAATTTCTTTTTTACTGGTCTAAAAAAAGACGTTGTCATTTCAATTTAAATTAGTTTCTTACTCTTCTGCACAACGTTATTAATCTCGGGCAAGTCAAACATTATTCAACAATTTTTGTTATACACATTTTATTGTTGTACATATTTGTACACACGCCCGTGAAGGTTTTTTCATCTATTACACACAAAAACGTATTTTGTATGTCACATACAAAAGGTTGTAGAAAAGGTTGTAGAAAAGGTTTTTTTTCAACTTTATTAACCCAGTGGAAGTCAAACTTCACCTAGTTTTTGTTGGACGGATACGGTGAAAGAACAAAAATACTTTTTCTACACACTTTTTTTGTGTACACACTTTTACACATGTTTGTGTAGGTTTTTTTTGTCTGTATAATCGAAATACGTTTTATCTATACAAATAAAAAATACCTAACAGACGTGTAAAAGTGTGTACGCAGAAAAGTGTGTACACCAGTCTAAAGGTGAAAAAATGTGTTGTTTAAATAAGAGAAAACTCTCAAATAGGCCCTCCTACTTTGGACAATTTCTCAATTAAGCCCTCGCACTTATTAATCACCCAATCAGGTCCTCAACTAACCAAAACGACTCAATCAGTTTTTTTAGTCGGTGGAGTGCCGATTAGCCCATTACATGCTGAGCTGGAATCCCTCGTGGCCCTCCCTCACCGGGCACTTAAGTTGACATGGCTAACTAACCTTCTACCTAACCTTCTCCTTAGATTGAAAAATAAACACTTCTCTCCTCAGACCAAAATCAAACCTATCCTTCGCCCCCCCTGCGAGTTTGTGACAGTACGAGCCTTCACAACTATGCCGTCTTCATCATCATCAACGGTTGGAAAAGAACGAAGCCGTACAATGGACTATGAGCCTGCTGTTTATTGTTGGTGCGGATTGAAAGCTCCTCTATGCGTTGGACGAGAGAGTGGCAAAAGTTTTTATGGCTGTAAAAAATGGAAGGTAAGTACATCATTTGGCTTTGTGATTTAGAATTACAGTGTCTTGCCTTGTTAATTGGTAGCATACGTTAAATGTTTACAGGTTGGGAGCTGCGGTTTCTTCTTATGGAAGGAAGACGTTGGAATAAAAGAAATTGTCAGCACTGAAAAGAAGAAAGAAGTAATTATGGCTAAAGAGAAGAGCGAAATCGCAGATGATTTGAAAAAATTGGTTGAAGTACTTGTCCTATAGATTTCACAAGTTCAGAGTGATGTTGCTTGTGTCAAAAGTGTGGTTGAGAAGGAGGCAAAGATTAACAAAAAAGTAGGAAGTGGTATGGGTTAGCTATGATTGTACTTCTTGGTTTAGTGGGGAGTGTGTATTTCAGGGTGTAAGCTTGGTTTGCAATGTCAAAATAGTGAGTTGTTGGTCATGTGTACTGTATTTCAGTTTCTTAGTTATGTAATTGCTTTGTAATGGCACAATGTAGCTTGAATACAATTATTTCAGTTTCAGTTTCAGTTTCATGTGCAAACAAGATGGTTTAATGTATTTTGTTTAATGTATTTCAGTTTCACTAAATGTTTGACATGTAAATGTTTGCTATTTTTTAGTAGAATTGTATTGTTGCAGGTATGTTTTCTATGTGGTCATGCCAACATTGTGTCCAAAGGAATTGCTTTTATCAGACTCGCCTGCCATGCTATGCCATGCTACTTTGCTAAGTTTCAAGTGTATGCCCTGTTTCAAGAGTGAACAATATGAGTGTGATAATACCATGCATTGTAAACATCATCCAAAGCAGTTTAATGGCATGCTGCTTTGCTAAGTTTGAAGTGTATGCACTATGCCCAGTTGCATTGTTACAGCATTGTAAACAAAATCCAAAGTGTATGGCCAGATGCTAATTCATAATAGCATTCTTACAGCATTGTAAACAAAATCCAAAGTGTATGCCCAGATGCTACATACAACATTCAAAGCAGCATTCAAAATACCAACATTCATACATCATTGTAATAGCATCATCACAGCATTGTAAACACAATCCAAAGCAGCATTCATACAACATGACACCAGCATTGTAAACAAAATAAAATGACACACATAAGTTCAAAATACAAATATTGTAAACACAATCCAAAGAAGCATTCATACAACAAAAACCCATTAAGTTCAAAATACACATTCAACAAAAGGAAGAGCTTAACTCAAATATTCCTACACCTTTAACACCACCATTACATAATTCCAAAAGGTTTTCCAAATTACAGACTTAACAAAATAAACAATCAACAGATTATTGCATTTCTTTGTCCAGGCTGCCTCTTCCTCCCCTAATAGGTCTACCCCTTTCTCCACTTGCAACACTCCCTCTTCCTCCCCTCTCAGGTCTACCCCTTTGACCTCTTCCACTTTCAGCACCTCTTGTATGCCCTTGGTTTTCTTCTGCCCCACTCTGTTCTGGGATGGGTATATTCCTTTGTGAACATGATTTCTTATTGTGCCCGTCCACTTTACAGATAGAACATTTCATGATTCTTCCCTTTCTTGATAGTTGAGACCCTGATGGTGCACGAGGTTCACTTTCTTCTCTCACTCTTTTCTTGTTAGGGCGCCCACTCATTTTCTTTGCAATGGAGGAAGAATCTCTTCATGCTGGGTTCTTGGCCAGAGTAATTCTCCATTTATTGGCTGCAGAGTGTTTGAGTATATTTTCTCATAGAGTTCCTTGGAGTACCAAGAGTCCACATAGCTTTCAGGTTCCTCACCTTTATCAAGAATAGCACAAATGGCATGTGCACAGGGAATTCCACTTAGATCCCATCTTCTTCAAGCACAAGTTTTTTTATTCAGACTCACCTTGTATTGATATCTGCCTTTTTTGATCTCATATCCATCATCCCCATTGAAACCAACATACCAGGCTTGACTAGCTAATATATTTTTGTTCAATTTCTTCATTATGAGGGGACCAAATGCACCTGCACAACATGATTGGACCACTAAATTATTGTAAAGCAAGTTGATATGGCAAACATGGTTCAGATAAGTTAAAAGATAATAAATGCTGTTCAGAATCATCACCTGGCCACTTCCTCACATTCTTTCTTTTTTTAGCTATTCTTTTCATCATAGCCACTCTCATTCCCTCAAGCATTGGGACAAGGGGTTTGTCTCTGAGTTGAACAATAGTGTTGTTAAATGCCTCAGACAAATTGTTATCTACAGTATCACACTTTACCTCAGTCCTAAAATAAGCCTTGCACCATAGCTTTAGTGGGTACTTGCTCAAGTCAGTACCTGCTTGAGGGTCAAGCTTACCTAACTCATTCAAACTAGCCTCTAACTGCCCTTCAGAAGTGGCCTTTGCACATTTCCAGAACAATTTCTTAAGCACCAATTCATCCTCTGTGATTTTTGGCCCCGTTGGCATGTATATGCCTAGCACAATTCCTGTGCTCAGCATCTGGGAGAACATTTGCAATAACATTTGACAGTCCCTATATCAATTTAAATGTTGAAAATACTTAGTACAAGATAAAAATACACAATGAAGCATTGAATTTATGTACTTACAAGAAAACTTACTTTATGTTGATCACGTATTATGGTCCATTCAGCCGGGTTGTTGATCTGCAGGTCTTCCTTCAGAAGGTGTAAAAACCAACTCCATGAAGAATTGTTTTCTATCTCTACTGCTGCCTAAGCAATCAGGTACATTTGATTATTCACATCTCTTCCCACAACACTTAAAATCTCCACCTTCAACTGTCCTTTTAGAAAGCAACCATCCAACCCAATAACCTTCCTACAGCCTTCCAAAAACCCCTTCTTAACCGGTCCAAAACACATATAAATCCTTTGAAATACCATTGGAGCATCAAACACCACTCTGTCAGTTTTAATCACAACTGTACTTCAGGAACTGATCTCAACACTTCCTCTCCATAATTCCTGAGTTTCCTAGACGGCTAGACGGGTCCTTAAAAGCAGATTGTGTGTTGTCTTGCATAATTTTTAATGCTCTTGAAGCCATATTTATGGTCACACTCAGTTTATGTTCAGCCTTAAGCAACTCTTTAAGCTCTACAGCAGTCATGTTGGGGTTTTCTGTCAACTTTTCCTCATAAGTTTCAGCTATCCAATTCTGACTAACTATTCTAAGCTTGAACTTTAGGTTACATAGATGGTCTGGGTTCCAAACTTTCAATTGAAAGCATTTTAACCTATCTTCCCATGAAGCAGTACTTGCAAAGGGGCAATTCATGGCACATTTCAGTCTGACTCTCAACGGCTCATTCTTAACAAACACTATATCTCTCTTATTATACACATCATACCTAACCATATCACTTTTAAATTGCTTACCATCCTCAAACAACATCCCCACCTTAAAATGGGGAGGATCAGAATCTAGGTTATAGGATCCATTTAAGTTACCTGACCTTTTAGACTTAGTTGCATCTTCCTCATCTGAATGCAAGCTAGGTGGGTTAGATGAGTCATATTCAGTGGTATCTTCCTCATTATCAGATTCAAGCCCATGCTCAGGAGTCTTATTATGGTCCATTCCTTCCACATTATCATCTCTCATTGGTGTGGAATTAGTGTTCAGAACTTCCACATCACGTAGCACCTCTTCTTCTTCTTCTTCTTCTTCTTCTTCTTCCTCATTGTATGCTTTAGAATTAGAAGTTTTATTTACTTCCTCACCATCACTCTCATTATCATTTATCAGATGGGGCATCACTGCGAACATCTATATCATCATTCCGTTCATCTTCATAATCTTCTGGCTCACCTACATCAGCATTTGGTTCATGATCAAGTCCTTGGATGTGTAGTTCATCCTATGCATGGTCTACATATATCTCACTGATGGAGTATATGGGTCTGAGCCCCTGGACCCACATACTCGGAAGAACAGAAAGCACAAAACACAGAGTGGCGCCCTCGTCGGCCAAGACGCCCCCGTCGGCCGAAAAGGGGCCAACTCAGATTATGGTCCTGAGCCCAAGGAACTCGGGTGCCCTCGTCGGCCGTGCCCTCGTCGGCCACGAGGACCTCCCAGAACCGGATTTTATACTTATTCATTTGTACAGCCCATTAGTGTCTTTGTATTCGGCCCAGTAGCGGTCCAGTTGTAAATGGGCCTCCCAAGCCCAAGGCTTGGGAGCCCAGCCCGTATTTTCTCTATAAATACTCCCCTTGGGAGTAGTTGTAGGGGTTCAGAATTCATTAATATCAAGCAAATATACTACTTCTCTCTCTAGCTCTCACTTCTCTCTAGAGATATACTCTATCATTTGGTGCTCTCGTTGAGAGCTAGAACAATCAAGTTAGCACCCTTCGTCGCTACCAAGCACAGCTAACCACTGATCATGGGGAGAACTAAGTCAAACCGCAACCTCGTCAGCAAAGCCATCCCTGAGGACCAAGAGCCCAGGGAGCACGATGAGGACGCCACGGCCGACCAGGTCGGCGGAGGGGACCTCTTCCAGGAGGCCTTCAACCTCACGACGGACCTCCGCAACCAACTCAACGGCAGAGTCCCTGATGCCCGCCTCGGCCTGGACAAGAAACGAGCTGAGAAGACGGACCACGCCCCGGCCCAGCCTATGGCCGCGGCCTCTCCGTCCGTGGATCCACAGGTCCAGGCCGCGCTGTCGGTCATCATCGCCAGCCTAGCTCAGAACCCCACCGTCCTCAGCGCACTCTTGCCAAGGACCGGGGGGAACGTCACTCAACCTCCTCAGCATCAACCGTTGGCCGTCCAGATAGGCAACGATGAGGGGGTGGTGCCCCAGGACACGACGTCGTCCCACTCCCACCCTGCTTCCCCTCTTCGGCCCGGGCAGACCCCAGCGCGTGGAAAAGCCTCTGCCTTCAATAGGCTAGGTGACACGCGCCGTCGTCCGGTTTCGGAGAGGATGGCGGGACGGATTGGTGATCCTCGTCCTGGCTCGCCAAGGGAAAGCTTGGGGTCTGTGTCCCGGACAGCGGACCAGCCCCGCTCGGACAAGGGCAAGGGGAAGTTGCACGAGGATGACGTGCGTCACCAGATCAACGCGGCTCACAACGAGCGCCTGAGGAACCAGTCGGGTGCCACCGCGGCCGACAGGGACCCCCGGAACGAGGTCATCGCCCAGCTGGAAAGGAGGCTGGCTCAGATGGAGGCCAAGCAGTCGGCCAACATCCCTACGGCCGGCGCCTCCAACGACCCCAGCCTCAACGCGCTCATGAACAAAGTTAGCGCCCTGGAGAGGGAGCTGGCCGAGGGGCGAGGTGACCCCATCATCCAGGTCAGGACCAGGACCCCTTTCACCAACAGGGTCCTCTCGGCCCCCATCCCTGAGAAGTACAGGGGGAACGCCATCAAGTCCTACGATGGCCGATCAGACCCCCAGGAGCACTTCAGCCGTTACCAGAACAACATGCTGATGGTGAACGCGTCCGACGAATACCTCTGCCGTTGGTTCCTCTCTACTCTCGAGGGGCCAGCGTACGAGTGGTTCAACGGGCTGCCAGAAGGAAGCA